AAAAAAAAAAGAATCAAATGGTATCCCAGTGGGCAATCTGACTCACAGTCCTTGCTCCCTAAAATACTAAATACTAGAAGAAAGTGATTTTGGTACCTTGAGGCAGAGCCCATTTAAAAACAATAATTCTTTAAATATCAAGCAAAGCAGTTTATCTGTACATTTATCCATAGAAGCATTAGCACTTCAACCAGACAGATACTGTCCAGGGAAAAGACACTAGAAGTAATCTTTGTGCACAATACAACTATTTCAGTGATACACTGTACTGAATAAATACTGACCAAGAATAAAATCATATTTGAGGCACAGTAATCTAAAGTTAAGACTGAATGTGTCTTGGTGGGCAGGTGTTTTGCTACATCAGTGCTGGGACAGCACTGTCACTTAAAGTTCACTCATTATAACTATAGATGCTTTGACATAATTTGAACAATGGAAATGGATAAGGTAGCCCAAGTACTGCACTACAGAGTAACCTTCAATACTACAGTCGGCAGGACACTTTTGAAATACAACAGTTAAAAAACAAGCCCATCTGAATGTGAGTAGTTGAAAGTCCATTACTCTGGTTGGATACACATACTATTTTGATACATGGCAGAAGAGTTTAGAAACAGAGCTAGCAGACTGCCCATGCTGTCTTTAACCTTTAGGGAGCCAAGAGTTTTCCAATAGGACTGAATTATTAGCATAACAAGCTTTCAGAAGGGTCATGATAATAAACAGGTAAAGAGTTGTGAAATTAAAAAGAAAAAAAGAGAAGGCCTTTATGTTTTATGTAAAGGTTGAACACACACTTTCATTTCCTTAATATTAAAAGGCCACATGACATGTAGCAGGTTCTTCTTACTCACAGTTAAAAGTTAAGGGCAGTAAGGCCAGCAATGCTGCATATTTGAATTTCATTTAGAGTTAGTAGGCCAGGAATCCTGTATATTTTAATTTTGTTTAGAGTTTGGACCAAATGATTATTTACCCTGTGATAAAAAGATGCAAGTTCACTATAGTCACTTCTTATTATCTTTGCAAAAGGATGATTTTTGCAAACCAATATTGAGATGCTGGCTCTCTACTTGTAGGCATCCCAAGCCAAAGCTATTTGAAACATCTTCCCTACCTAAAAAAAGGAAGTTTTTAAGGTGCTTGGGCCAGGAAGCATTTTGTACATACACAGACCAAAATAATAAAATTATAAAATAACCATCTAGTAGAATTTAGCCACATAAGATGTCTAAGCTAGAGATTTTCACCACGTTAACACTATTTTAGGTGGCGATAACAGAGTCCATAATCATGTGTTTAAAAACAGACTAAGTACAGTGGGTTTTTTTCTTGTTTAGACACAAATTGAAAGAGAGAAGGGATCTTACAGAGGTCTACAATGGTTGTTTATAATAGAGGCACAATTTCTTTCAAATCATCTTCAGACATAGTTCTTTGTCCTGCAGCAAAATAATATTCAAAATAAGAAACATAATAGTTTCAGATCTCGATGTAGTGAAGTGACCTTTTGTGTACTGCCAAGTAAATGATGTATATCAGTTCAGAATCATTTATCCCATTGGCATTTTGTTAATATTTTTTTTTTTACTCCTGGAAGTATATCGCTACCCTTATCTCTTAAATTCTTAAGTAATTCATTATATGAAGGACAAAGACATACACACACTTAAGAGAACTGTGTTTCTGAACCATCCTGTAACAAGAAAAAGAGGTAGTCGGTTCTGGTTTGGAACCAACCATTCAATGTCATAACGTAAGGCAGATATTTTTTCAATAACTTATTCTTACAGACTTGGTGCCTGAGTAAACATTTGTTATATAGTCATAAAAAATAAGTTAAACTAGTCCCCAGTGATTAATCACTACAAATAAACGAGGATTAGTTCAATTTAAGGAGACTGAATACTATTACAACTCAACAGATCTGACACAGTTTAAATAAACAAAACTATGGAGCTTGGAGTTGCTCATTTTTCTACAAATGCAGTTGAAATACACCTAGAAATCCCCATACTGAAGGATCACTAATTGCTCTCCTTTCTAGTTTTGTCAGCAATTGTAATGCCTCATTAAGCTTTTAAAGTGAATAGAGGCTGACTTTGCATTAGCTGCAAAGACATACTGCACAACTACAGTCAAGGAAGACCATATGCCGTCTCCAGTCTTTACAGAATTGGTTGTTAGAAACATGCCAGTGAAGACATTTTACTGAGGCACTGATTCAGATTTTTACTCAAGTTTTTAATCTCAAAACTGTCATTTAAATATAGGGACTGGGAATTCAGGTACTTACTCATTTAAGATTGACATATTTCAGCTTGCAAGAGACAATGAAGTAAAATAGCATGGGGCCTATGTTCATCTGACTGAGATGAATCACCGCTTTACTACGTATCCTATACATGTATAACAAATGATGTTTGACACTTTTTGCTCACTTATTAGCCTGAAGTTAAATTGGGTCTGTCTGAACTTCCACATCCCTTTCCAAATCAAGGTTCTCAGGTTAATTAGGACTAGTTTAATTGACCTAAACACGTCTCCACAAGCTACAGACTCATTCTCCTCTACCAGGTAGATGCTTCCATTCCCTTTTGTAGTCTAGACTAACAGCCTTTTCTTATAGTTCTCACTTTCTGGCTGTCTCAAACAGTAACATTCCTTCCAAGTAACAGGAGTGAAATGCAGTTTGTAGCATGAAGGAAGACTAGCCATCTATTAAAGCTCATTTTTTTTCCCCACAAAGTTGAAAGAAAGAAGGAGAACACTTCATGCAGGTAGGTCAATTGTTTTTTATACTACTAGACAGGAAATTAAATAGAGTCTATTCTGTAATGCAATAAGCACAGTCACTTTAAACCTTTAGGATTTTTGTAAATGGTTGTTCCTGAACCTCACCTTGCCTCAGTTTCTCCAGTCAGTGACAACCTCTATCAAGAATATAGTACATTCCACCATAGTTAGAGTAATAGCTATTCTATGTTCACGTAGAGCTTTAGAACACAAGCTACATACATAATAAGGAAAGTGCTTAAACACAGCAGCAATAGCTCTTCAAGCAGAAATTTAGACATTCTCGACACTAATCTACATAGGATTACATTGTCACTGACAGAACCCACAGGAGATTCATGTGTTCAGGCACAGTCCCAAAGCTTCAAAATTTGGTTTTCATTTGGCTGTTGAATCTGAAAACTAAAACCAAGAAAAAGCACAACAGCTGTTTAGGGAAAAAGGTTTCTCCCACTGGCAGTTTCCCCAGTAGAGCAGGTATTTAATGAACTAGCATGTGAATGTAGACCAGCCTTCTATGTCATACAAAGCAGACTCAAGAACTGGCCTTTTTTACCTTTTGTTGACAAACTTCATGTTATATTGCCTAGACTCAGCATATTGACAGTTGAAGCCAAGTGAACATGAAATTGCATCTTGTTTGACTTGTTATCAAGATTTATCATGTTTTGATCTAGTTGAGAATCAAATAAGCATGCTATACACATTCCAGTGGCTAGTTACTGGATTTGTGTAGCTATAGTTATAGTTTAGAAAAAGACAACACACCGGAGATTAAAGAATGGATTTGTTCTGCAAGTGACTGAATAGGAAGACTATGGTAGTTCCAGGTTAGCTAGAACAGTTAAAAATTCAAACAAGCCAGCAAGCAAGGAACCCAGATGGGGGGCAGCTTAATTTCTGAAGTGCTATGGGCTTTAACAAAAACAAAACAAAAAAAAAAACTCCCAAAACTTAAAGTCGCAAACAAGTGAGGCAAGCCTTAATGTTGAATTTAAAATAAACCTTTAACATAGCAGCTACTACAAGGTAAAGTTGTTTCCAAATGTCAGTGCATATAGGTTAGGACATGTGATGTAAAGATTCATGTTCTCAAAAACATACACCAACAACATACGTAAGATGCCCAAATATATATTTATTTGTCTCTTAAAAAGTAAGTTATTCTTTAGAAAAAAAAGACAGCCTAGGAAATCCCAATATAGATTAAAGTATATTCAATCTGGCACATACTTCATGCAGATGTTTAAACAAACATCGGCACCTTCACACCAAGAAAGATAAGACTTCTAAAGTCAATAGCCAGGAGGTACCAGGACAGAAGAAAGCCTTAAAATAAAGGAGTTTCAAAGCCTTTCAGCCAAGCAGAGCCAGAGTTCCAGAATGTATTCAAGAACCAAGAAATCTCTCTAATCTTCTTCATCTTCATTTGCTGCCAGAAATACACCAGTTAGAAGAAGGAAACATAAGTATCTCAGTATACAGAGTTACAAACGGGTAAGCCAGTTCATTAGCTGTGAGCAGTCAGAAGAATGCAGCACTGTTCTAACATCGAACAAGTCAAAGCTGGGGGTTGGGTTCGGTTGTGGGGGTTTTTTTTGGTTTGTTGTTTTTTTTTTTTAATAGGCTAGCAGTAACCAGCTAAGCTATGTCCTTCAAGACCTCTCTCCTACCTCATGGTATTCAGAACCATTTCAAGAGATAAGGAAAAAGTTCATTATCACAGGACAGTGAGACATTTACCATTGGCACTCTTGGTAAAGCTCTCAGTGTTAGTGCATGAAAAAAGTTACTGGACATTTATTTGTGGATGTGCATATAGGTAAGATTACTATAACTATGTGCCAGCAGTACAACTGTATTCAGTAATGTGTTTCATATTTAAAGTATTAGCTGAAAAATATTCTGCCTTCAATGGCTGGAGATGCGTTTTTGTTAGTCTCTCTATAGCCATTTCCCCTGTTAAGTAATCATCTACCCATCTTGTTCTTAGTGGTAAAAAACATCGACTTCACTCAGTCCTAGTGAACACACTAAGAAAGATAGCTCCCCATTTGTCACTGGTCCCTTCCAGATATGTGATGTCTTGATCCAGGAGACCTAGCAATGAGACAGATCCTCATGGGGGGGTTAATAAGTATGGACAAGTGCATAGGTGAGAAGTCAGGCTAAAGCGGGACATTAATGGTGACAAAAGTTTACAGTCAAGGTGCAAGTGTCTATTCAGCTAAAACCATAAGTGAGCAATATTTGGAATGTAGCATATGTCCTAGAAGAAAACTAGACAGAGGAATGTTGTTCTTTGTTCCTTTTCAGGAGTGTAAACACTACCTTATGTTCTCAAGTAATACGACACTAATCAGACTTGGATACAGTCACTTAAGCAAGTGGAGTGATAACTCACAAGGTACCAACAAGAATATGTAAACACCCACAAGAATCACCTATTCATATAATACCAGACACCCCCTATGGATTGTCACAATGCAGCACCATAGCAGCAGATTGATTTAAGGAACAGTCTTGCTGCTCATCCCATCACGTTTACTGAAGAGTGGTAGCATTAGCAGCACTGTGATTTACTCTCTGCTTTCAATGGGTCCAGGTCCAGTTTTGGTTTCCCCACATCGTTCTCTTCATTAGGAAAGGTTTTGTAGTTGGCAAGGATGTTTTCCACCAAGAATCGAGCAGCTTCGTCTATGTTGATGTTGTCCTAAAAAAAAGTTGAAAGCGAAGTACTTAGTGGTTGTTTTGTTTGGGATTCTTGGTTTGGTTGTTGGTTTGTTGGGGTTTTTTTGTGTTGTTTTGTTTTTAAAATAGTGATGCATTCAGATTAGAAACTGACCAAATACAAAGAAACACTCTTTACAGACTTCATCAGCATGACAAACAGCTTAGGTGCACCAGGTCATTGCTCATACACTTGCTTGCTGGAAAAAAAGTTAGTCACGCATATTACAAATAGGATACTTTAACCTAGGATGCAGTCAGGGGATAATCACCACCTGCATTTGGAAGACTCAAATGCTAAACTGCATTTCTGCATCAGGAAAGGTAGCAGACAGTTACACTGTCCACAGTAGTGTTCCACCTTTTGGGGCCTTTTTCTGCTTCTACTGAAGTTTGAATGCACTTACTTGTGTGAAGAGGACCTTTTCTCTATCAGCCTCAAAACCCCAGCTAAATCAGGGTGTCTCATCAGCCACTCTAAATTTTCTTGTGCAAGTACCTTAACATGCACTCTAAAGAAGGTGTGTTTACAGGATACCCTGATGAAATAGAGCTCTAGGTATCTTAGTAACTGAGGGACCAAGCTGGCCAATGCCAAAGGGCCTTTGGCCACAGCTTTCAGCTGGTTTGGCCATCTGTTAGCTCACCACAGGATTGCCACACTTGGCATCACTTGTCTTTGTTTTCAAGGGACATACCCTATCAGTACACTCTTCAGTCTCTACAATTGTAGATCTAAACTCTACATGAGCAAGGTTAGATCATGAGAGCATTTGACCCATCACTACAGCACTTCACAGGCTTGTGGCTGTCAGCCACAAACTGCTTCAGCAGTTAGCAGATAAGCACTTTGCCCTGCCCAGAGTGGAAGATGACTCCTCATTTTATTGTAAGGATGTTCATAAGGTATTTTTATGAATATTTGTACTCTCTGGAATTCTTCTGCTGTTAATATTCTCCCTAATCCACAGGGAGTGGGACCTATATTATTGGTGACTCGATTGAAGATTCAAGTATCAGTTTTAGCAGAAAGGCAAAAGCATATATCAGGATATTTAAGTGGGCAGGACTTAAAACCATGAACTGATTTGGTACGCTTAGAAAACAAGCAAGCTGTCCTGAATTTTTGCTAAGCTATTTTAACCACCTCTAAAGAGTCCTAGGCTAGTCAATTCATAACTGAATTAGTACTAATATTGACTGGACTACTCTGCACCAAAAGCTTTGGTTTACATTGTTGTGCCTTATATACCACCTAAATGCAAACTGTCACTACACTTACACATTAGTTTTTGTTCCAATGCTACTTGCATTTATTTGTAACTCCTGCTGAAGTTTATGTATAGCAGAGTTATGGACAGGTGAAGATTCAGGGAAGACCTAACCCAAAGCAGAATCTTGGGGTTTTTTTGTTGGTGTGGTAGTTTGGTTCCCCCCCTCCCCAACCCCTCGAGTAAAGAGCCTTTAGTAACAGATGGGTGGGTTTGGAAATTATTTGCTCAAATGCAAACAAATTAGCTTATTTAACTAATTCCTGTCACTGTGTACCCTTCTTCCTTATTTTAGAAGTGATCAGGAAGAGGCTTGTTACTTATTTCTTATCATATTCTTCCCTGTAGACTTTTTATTAAGAGTTGTCTTAAGTATCACTTTGTGCCAGTTCACGAGCAACAGATAAAGGAAGTAGGCAAGCCAAGGAAAAAGAGGGACTTTGAGCTTACCACATAAAGGAGTCATTAACCATACAAGTAATGTGATCTGTCAGCCACAATGTTTTAATGACAGAAGAATCTTTCATTTTAAGGATCAATTGGGGTTTAGGGAATTGTTGGATTCCACTTTCAACGCAGTTACCACAAGCTTATCTGTGCATTGACCAAGTCTGTAGACAAAAACTGTACAATATATGAAGTTACTCCAAGGTAGCTGTTTGAATAAAGTAGCTATCTTAGCTTAAGTTAATACACAGAGTAAGCAGTTTTTCTCCAATTCAGTCTTGACACTGCCCAATAAAATAGGGAAGTACTTTACTGACATCATCCTTTGGGCGGGTAGTAATAAGTGAGAAAACAGCTTGTTTACTGCTGGAGTATTACTACCTCCTACATGCAACAGTAAAGACACAACTGAAGTTTAGAAACCTGCACCTAAAGATTATTTGTATCTTTTGGACAGTTTGATCAGAAGTACTAACATCTGAAGAATGACATTCACCTTGACACATGCAAGCAAAAAAGTTTATTGAACTCTGTTAATTAAGTTTTCCACTTAGTTTTAAGGTTCTCTGAATTTAAGATGCAGTTCTAATCTAAATTAAATACGCTGCTAGTCTTCCAAATCTTGCTGGAGACTTGACTGTCACTTCCTACACTTGATGATTTTCTTCCCCACATGAATATACTCATCCATTCTTATCCCAATACTTAGAAGAGTTAAAATACATTTCATCTGTATGCTCACCTTGGCAGAGGTTTCAAACCATCCAACAAAGCCACCTTCTCTGCAGAACTGGTCCATTTGCGAGGGATTCTGGCTGCCATCTTTCTTCTGGTCACACTTGTTTGCAAGAAGAACTGCAGGGATGGGGCTGCCATTAGGAAGTAGTACTTTACTGTCCAAATCATGCTTCCATTTTGAAACAGCCTCAAAGGTGGAGCCTCTTGTGACATCGAAGACCACAAAAGCACCAACTGCCTCTTTGTAGTATACTCTGGTCATATTTCCAAAGCGCTCCTGGCCTGAAAGACAGCGAGAGTATATTTAAGCATGAACTGTTGTCAGTGTAAATGGGCTTCTATACCAGGTTAATACATAGGAATTTGACATTTGGGTCTAGTCATCTAGTTCATAGAACATTGACTCTTCTATCCTACGTTACCTCATATGTAACAACCATTATGCGTATCACACAAGTAGAACCAGTTTGCCATCCCAACTACCACTCAGGGTTGGGTTTTTGGTGTTTTGGTTACTTTTGACTTATTTGTTGAGTAGCAATGCCTAAGAAAATTACCATCACAGCTATATACCAATTCTTTCCTCATAAAAGCTTCTGTAAGATTTAGGATATAACCCTAATCACTTCAGCTAGAGACTTAAGCATATCCAGAGAATGTTTCTGGAGGGTAAGCAACAAGGGTTTCTACAAGCTCCAAGGCTAACAGCCTTCAAACCATCTTCCTCAGAAGTCACCTTATTATAGATTTTTTTCCTTAGGGCCAGGGTCAAAAGAAGCTAGTTTAACAGTTCTAGCTAAACCTGTTATCTTTGACTTCATAGTCGAAATCTTATCTGGGTTCATTTCTAACTGTGGGAGTTCTACTGCAATCCCAGGATTTGATAGAAGATGACCAGAATAGTCAAAGTAGAGTTATTCACAAAAACAGTCACACAAGCCAATGGTCACCAAATATAGTCAGCTAAAGTCTTCTCTTATTAAATACAACTACTGTAGTCAGTATACTTCAAATGGAGAATTAGAGTACCAGTTACATTTCTGTTTGGAAGGTCACACCATCATACTGTGTTTGTACCAGAGTAGACTTAGTCAAGTGCAAGCATGTTGCTTGGGAAGTTCATGCTACTAAAAAACTTTCTGCTTTATTCAGAAGTCTTTATTGGGAAAAATAGTCCCTGCACTTTATAATTCAGTTTTACAGTGTATCATCACTTCAGCTTTTAGCATTTAGTAAATAAGCAGTTTTACAATAGATAAAGTAAGAATTTTAATTGGAACATAGTTACCCTCTGTTTATAAACTTTCAAGTCTGCCTTTGATTAACAAGAACAGTCACAAGAACTGCGTATTATCATATTCTCAGAAAGAGCTGGAAATTCATTAGGTGAAAGAACTTGACAAGGGATCCTGTTTAGCAGCATGCTTTTCTAGCTCAATTGCCTCATTTTAATGTCAGTACTTCAGTGTACCGATTAGCTCATTCCCAACAGACACTTTCAGAAAAGGTTGACTATTGCCAGAAATTGCCAGAAAGCAGCAGCAGCTACAGTGAAGTTCCAGAGAACTAGAAGTCTCTATAAAAAGAGGACTATTTCTGGTTGTTCAACTTCAAAGTATGATGCTGCATAAAACAGCATCCCTAGTCAGCATATTCTGAGGAATGGAAATTACACATTAATTTCTTCACTACCAGTTCATTATCTCCTGTGTGAGAACAGGACACATGCAAAAGGGAAGCTCAAGTTTTAAAGCAGCATTTATGTTGTGAACTTTCAGGCCAACAAGCCAGGCACCAAGCTGTATCTCAGTGACTGTGTGAGTGGAAGAGGCACATTGCTGACACAAGCCTCCTAACAGTGCAGACAGAACTTGTATACAAGGAACTCAAATTGTCTCCCTAAGCCTTTCCAGGCTGGATTATTATGCTTTAAACATGGGTTTGGTATAGCCTTACTCCAAATTCTTGTACCATGTGCCCACTGTTTTCATTAATCAAAGACCAGCAGGAAAGAATTGGGCCAGAAGGCTTTTACTACTTCTGCAAATCAAGCATGCCACATCTAAAAAAGCATCACCTTTAGACTGTGGGAATTTTCATTTTTAAATGGAGCTGCATGGGATCAAATTTAGCTACATTAAACCAGTTGCTACATATTACACTACACAAGCTAGGAGAAGCTCCTCCTTCTCAGCTTCCCCATTTGTTTAGCTGTCAGTCTCACCATCAATTCTTGTTACATGTGAACACCTCTTAATGCGTTAAAGCCCCAGGTCTTGTGTCCAAGTCAGGCAGTATATCCACTGGCACCATAGGATTGGCCCACAAAACAGTAATTTCAAGGTCTACAGAGCTCTCTACTAGCTTCCATCTTCTACAGAAAGATTTCTTCAGGTTTGGTCCTGAAATGGACACCATTTGCTATTATTTACATGAGACTGCATGTGAATCTTCCTTTAGTCCTCCTTATTCAGTCACAGGAGGAGATCTGTGGGGATTTCAGTCTTTTCAATTAAGGCTGTAAGTTTTTGGGAAAACTTGATAGACATAAGAAAATTAAGTTGTATTGATTAGCTGCAGAAAAGGTTGCTAGACTGTTACCAGCAAGGAACAGGATCATCAAATCAACATTTGAGTTGGAAGGGACCTTAAGGATCATCTAGTTCCAACCCCCCTGCCATGGAAAGGGACACCTTCTACTAGACCAGGTTGCTCAAAGCCTCATCCAGCCTGGCCTTGAACACTTCCAGGGATGGGGCATCCACAACTTCTCTGGGCAACCTGTGCCAGTGCCTCACCACCCTCTCCATGAAGAACTTCTTCCTGATACCCAATCTACATCTCCCCGCTTTCAATTTAACCCCGTTCCCCCTTGTCCTGTCACTACAGGCCCTTGTAAAAAGTCCCCCCCAGCCCCCTTGTAGCCCCTTCAGGTACTGGAAGGTGCTATAAGGCCTCCCCGGAGCCTTCTCTTCTCCAGGCTGAACAAGCCCAACTCTCTCAGCCTGTCCCCCTAGCAGAGGTGCTCCAGCCCTCTGAGCATCTTTGTGGCCTCCTCCAGACTCGCTCCAGCTGGTCTATATCCTTCTGATGTTGGGGGGCCCAGAGCTGGACACAGTACTCCAGGTGGGGGTCTCACAAGAGCAGAGGAGAACCACCTCCTTCAAACTTCTGGCCACACCTCTCTGGATACAGCCCAGGATATGGTTAGCTCGTATATCAAGTATACTCAGATATCAAAACTAAGTTTTTCAGAAATTGTGGAAAAGGTTAATCAGACAGTTATTTCTTATAACTGTGCATAATGTATGTAAACATGGCTGTCAGATACCACAGTGAAGGGCACTACCCTTGACTGAATCCCTTCCTGCCTACTTCTCATGCGCCAGTACGGCCCAGACTAGTTGAAGTTTTAACACCACAGTAACTCCTTTCCCTGTTGCTAAAGCCCAGATATGCTATACCAGAAAGGCAATGACAGTCTTGTAGCAGAGCAGCAGACTAGCCAGATCCCTTCATGGGGTCCTGATCAGGACAGAGGCCACTGCAAGTGGACTTGTGCTAACTGACAGATTCAGGAGCTCTGGGATAATACAGAAGCCAAGGTTAGCTTTTTTCATTGTGTGAGAAGACAACAGTTCTAATAGGAATGTCAGCCTGCACCAAGCTGTACTTTACTTTGTAGTCTACAGCAGTCCCTTAAGGCATGGCCTTCAGCTGTCCAGAACACTCATTTAAGTATTATTTCTAGCCAACTTTATTGATAGAAAGATTAGGAAGATTTGATACCCCTTACCCCTAAAAAGGTACCCAAGCTCAACACTGCTGTAGTATTACAGGCTAATGCCTTTCTACAGATCAAATACACTCCAGTACAACTGCTGTCCTTTTCTGAAGTAGCTCAAACTCCAAAACAGTTTATTGCAGAGCTGCTTTCACCTCTGGAATTTACATCCACTAACAATAGCTCCAACCTGCATATTAGCTTATGACTGCTCTTCCATCCTGTCTGGAGGTCTAATGAGGATGGATATATTATTTTTATTCCACAGAAAGAATTCAGAAGCAATAACATGACCTGCCTAAGAGGGAAGAGTTTTGTTGTAGTAAAGGTATACGACGTGAGGCAGCAAGATACTTAAGTATAAAATAAGTAGACTTCCTTTACAATTCTGTTATTACTGACAATGCACATGCTTTAGGCTGAGCTTCTTTTACGGGATTCAGAGCATTCCAGACAGCCTTTTCAAAATTTAACAGGACTTTCAGGCAAAGCTTTTGCAAGTGCTTTTCTGCTTGCAAAAAAAAAAATCATACAGAAAAAGCAAACTGTAGAGCACACCACTTTTCCAAAGTTTGGAGTGTGAACATTATTCTCTATTTAGGTTATTAAAACTAAATCGACTCAATTTTTGCCATGCTCAGTTCAGCCTGGGGTTTGTTATTCCTTTTCCTCTGTCCAGCAGAATTTTTGCTGTAGTCATTTTGCCATGTGTGAGAGTAGTGTTGAGCTGTACCAAAAGTGGACCATAACTCCAGAGGAATAAAAAAGGCTAAAAGTGATCAGATGAAACTAGACTTGAATTCTCCAGCATGTATAATCATAGAAAGAAGACAACAGGAAAATTACTTGCTTACCTCAGCAGTATGGAACGACATCAGAGGATTCTGGTAGTTCTAGTGCCTTGACATAAACCTGATGGTACCACAAATTTATCTTTTCTCTGTGCTTTAGGGGTTCAAGTTGCAGATGATGGGCTATGCTACAGGGCAGTCAAGAGTCATCAGAGGTTTTGTTTGGAGGTATGGAAGTGGCTGCATGCAATGCAAAGTTCTGCATTCTCTAACCACAAAGTTTTCACATCTAAATGACTCTGCACATATTGTCACCATTTTTTCCAGTAATTGCAACAGTGTTAAGTGAAATACTTGCATAAAGTCATACATCAGGAACTAATAGTTCCCTGAAGCTGCACCACAGGAATGAAGTTTTAAACTAAACTATAGCAGAGCTTGGGAACTATTACTGCTTCCCAGTTTACAATATGACAGGAGTAAACAATAAGTTTAAAAACATGAAAAACATTATAGCCAGGTCTGACATTATGAGCTTTGTCTTTGCCCTTTGCTTCATTGCAAAAAAATAAGTTATCATAAGATTCAGACACTGCCAACCCTACCTTGAAGTACTTTAAAGAGTTTCTACAGCAATCTTTCTCAGTGTAAGAAATAAACAAGAGTCCTGTTTATCACAGCCGTGTGACTTATTATAGCAGTTCTTT